CGCCCGCGCCCGCGCCCCCCCGCTCCGGCGTGCTGGCCGCCGCCGTGCTCAGCGCCGGCAACGTGCTCAACTACCTGGACCGCTACACCGTGGCGGGTAAGCGCCTGCCTCGCACCGCCCCGGCCCCCGGCCCCGCTCCGCCGGACTCTGCGGCGACATAGAGCTTGCACCGTGTGTGTGTGTGTGTGTGGGGTGTATTTGTGAGAAAAGTGTGTGTGTGCATGTGTGAGGTGTGTGTGTGTACGGGTGGCAGGTGCAGGGCTAGTCCCGGGGTCACTGACAAAACCCGGCTCTGCCCGAGGGAAGCAGTCAGGCCCCGCAGAGGACAGTGCTGAGGCCGGGCTCGGCCCCCACGTGGCAGGATCAGGCCCAGAGGGGGTGACTGAACCTCCGGGGTCTCCTGTGTCCCCTTGTTGAGGGAGCAGGGAGGGATGCCCCTGATTAAGAAGCGGCAGATGACCCCCTTGCTTGCTGTAGCGCAGGGGAGGGTTTGCTTATCTCGCAGGGAAACATTTTTTTTTCTCAGAGTAGAAAGAAAAGGAAAAGTTGGTTCATCGTCACTGCCCCCGTTTGTTACAGTGCCCCCAGCACAGAGCCACCGCCTCTGATTTTCCTGGCAGCAGGAAAGAGGGCGAGGGATCCTCTGGCAGGTGGAGCATCTTGATTTATAGGAAGGCCAGGAAGTGTCTGTCCAAACAGAACGTAAATGTCAGCTGCCAGCGGCATCGGAGCGGTCGTCCTGTGCCATGGTCATCACCGTTTCCAACAACCCGTGGTGCTGGGGTCCTCGATAACAAAGAAGTAAACTTATCATTGGTTTATATTTAATATAAAAAAAATATTAGCTCAAGAGTCAGGTTTCACTTTGAATGAGTGATTATTTCTGAGATACCAAAGTGCAAAGGTCAAACAGCACGTGCTGTTCTGGTGCACGTCAGGCAGGTAGTTATTTTTCAAATCATTGTTTTACAAACTATGAAATAGGTGTAGTCAGTGGTGTGACTGTTGAGCGCAAAATCAACTGTCCACTAAAGGTGTTTTCCTTTATACTAATAAATCCATCTTGTGTCTGGTAGCATGTTGGGTCTGTTGTATACACTGTGCTAGTGTAACGAGTGTTGGTGTGTAAATGTGACCACATCTAAATCCAGGTCAGGTCTCAAGGAAGGTAATAATTAGTGCTTATAGCTCTTCAAAGCACTTCACAAACACAAGCTGTTGCAACACTGTGGTGACGGCGTCAAGGATTATCCCCATTATGGAAGGGGGAACCAAATCAGAAGCTGTGATTTACCTAAGACTACTTAGTTGGTGTCAAAACTGGAATTCGTTTCTAGTTCAGGCTGTTCCTTTGCTACCTGAAAAAATCACGTAGAACCTTTTAGTTTTGATATAAGAATTGTATTTATTACAGTCATTACAGGCTACGTGGTCAGTATGTGCAAGGCCTTAAAGTTGGCATTGTGTGTTTATTTAGCAGATTATCAATGTGTGACGTATGTGCTTTAAAATATGAATCCCCAAGCATCTTAAACTTCTAACATGACCACGTAGAAGCTGAATAACACAAATCCAAGCAATACAAGGAGAGTCTGTTTGAAAAATGAAGCTAAAGCCTACATTTTTTTTGTAATCCATTTTACTCATTAGTGCAGGTTTGTTCAGAAAAGCATTGTATTTCAGCACTGTTCTGCCGAGGCACAATGAGACTCGGTAGGAAGTTGAGGGTTTTTTCTTTGGCCCATATTATTGGTAAGATTGAGGAGTGTTAAGTCAAACAGGATTTTGGGGGTGGTGCCTGATGAGGAAAAATTGAAGTTCTCTGTACTAAGCAACGTTGACCTGAAGGTAAATGGCTTTTCTGTAACTTTTCTTAAAATATCTCTCAGCTTCCTGGAAGCGTAGTGTATGCATATTGACTTCTTGCAAAGTAAATCTGTTCTTCTAAAAGGTATGCTATGCTGCAACAGTTATGAGGGGCATCACACAGAACTGAGAAAAATAGTAGTAAGGAATCCACTGTGGGTTACCTGTGCTGTGACAGCAAGGCAGCTTTGCCAAGGTCTGGTGATACTGGCCTTACCCTCTTGATGAACATGACTTCCTCTGAAACTTTTTGCTTTCAGAGCTTTGGAATGCAGTTTGCTATTATGTTATGAATGACCTTTAATTTATGCTCACTTATGACAGACAATAGTTTTGCTGTCATCATGATTGACAGCTGCTATGTGTTTCCCTCTGTCCAAACGCTACTGTATTACATTTCTGTAATGCCTTTCATTTAAGGATAATGTTTTGGTTCTTTCATAACCACCCTGTAAAGCAGATGTAGATAATTATCCCAGTCTAGAGAGGGAAATTGAGTTCCAAAGGGTTTGACTTACCCATGGTGACATATGTAGTTAGTGGCAGTCCTGACTCATGTTAGCAGCAGTTTCTAGTGATTGCATATCATCATGACACACAATGAGCTATTGGTTTTGGTTTAATATTTAATTTCCTTATCATTTTTTCTCTTGTAAATGTCTGTGTCTTATTAATAACCACGTTTTTGTGATAATAAGTCCTTTGCTGCAACTTGTAGCTGTCAGCGCCACTCTTCAAAACTACTCCAATACACATGCATATATTCAAGTGCAAGGAAATCCGAGTTAATAAACAGAAAGCATTTCCCATGATTTGTGAATTCACCTTTGATACTGTGGTCTTACCTTTATGTACTGTATGTTTCAGTCTGAACGATCCCAGGAAACTAGATACAATCCACAAACTGGTGTCTGTAATGCTATAAAGAGACCACTTAATCCCCTATTGTAATATCCCTACAATGAGACTATGAACCATCTTCTATATAGTATGAGGAAAGAAAACATGGAGTGGGAGCTTTACCCCCTTGATTTTTCTATCTTCCGCTGAGCTAATCTCAACCTTATTGTAACCTAGTGCTTGGCTGTTGAAGGAACTCTGCGATGGAAAGAATGAGAAGGAAATAGCAACCAGAGCTTTGCGCACTCAACTTGGATGCTTAACTTAAGTACCAAGGTGTGTGTTAGCTTACCGTGGTGCTTGTGAGATACACACAGTTAATATGATAGGAATGTGTAATGGGACAAGGGAAGGGGATGGACTGGGAAATGGGCGCGACTGTCTCATAATTCAGGAAGCGCCGTATTGTCATACAAGCAAGCTCATGTCAATAGCAACAGTGCTATGGCTAATGCACAACAGAGCAATTAAAAGCATCCTGAACACAATAGCTAGTGACTCTTAGTGGCTGGCTGCCTGCTGTGGGTCAGATTTTCCTCATAGGAGGGCATTATGGCAATTTTAGCTTTGTTTCTGTTGTGCTAGATTTGTGTGCATTGGCAGGATTTGGCCCAGAATATATAGATTAAATACGAAGTCATGTTAAACTCAGTGGAAGCATTTTTCTTCTCTGTTACGTGCTTTCCAAATAATACCCTCACTGCTGTGGTCAGACTCCCCCATTTGACCCTGATGAAAAACCCTTTGGTTGTTGGCTTTTCCCCCCTCTTAAAAAGGATCAAAGTATTTATTTAACTGCAGTTAATAAATAAATCCTTCTAAGGCTCTTGTAAATACTTTATCTTGTTCCCATGAATTCTTTAATAATAATAGGCCCACAGTCTCAGTGCTTATCAATATTGAAAACCATGTGGAAAGACTTTCATGATCAAGAGCATAAAACTTTCAGGATATTCCTTGGGGAACTGTCAGATTGAACAGGGTTAAACTTCATCAGCACCGCCCCCCCACCTCCTCCTTCTGTTGCTTTCTTATTATACATTTATTTCTTATTACTTCATGTAGGCTGCACATCGTAGGAAACTAAGTTGTATACCAGGTAGCTTACTGCTCTGCTGAGTTCAATAGATGTTGTTCAGGTCTGGTGTCTCTCCCCTATTGTGATGGGTCGCAGCTCTTGCTCAATATCTTTAGAAAAATGTCTTGTCACGCTGCTCAGCACCTTGCAATATAAAGGTGGTTGTTATCTGGTGTAAGTCTAATAATTTTAATTCAGCCTGTTGAGAGTCTAGTGGGCCCAAAACAGGATCTTGTGACTCCGTTACAAAAGTACAAATCCTTTAACCTCTTTAGGAATATGGTATTATGGGTCTATACTACCTGAGCTTATGTATGAAAGCCTGGCTCTTTTTCATGAGATATAAACATCCCTTTAAAAAATAAAAAAAAAAAAGGTCTTAGCAAATTGGGTTCTCCCGCTCACCCCTCCAGTGGACATCTAATGTGGTGCATGCACAGATAGAAAATAGTGTGAATTACATTTGAACTGTAATAATTCTTTTTGAAGATAACTTTGTCACCAAAGGAGACATTGAATAGATGTAGAGAGCAACATGTAAATTGCCTTCTTGTAGCCTGTTTCATGTGAGGATCTTAGGGTTCTTGGCAAATGTTAATGAAGGCTCATAACATCTCACTGAGGGACGCATCAGGGAGCCGGTGTCTTTAATACAGAGGGGGCACCAAGAGAAGAGACATAACAACTTGTCTTAAATCACCATAGGACGTAGGAGCCATAGTCATGAACCGTGTGCCAGTCGTTTAGAACAAAGGGACAGTCCCTGCCTCAAAGACCTTCCAATCATAGAAAATTAGAGTTGGAAGGGACCTCAGGAGGTCATCTAGTCCAAACCCCTGCTCAAAGCAGGATCATCCCCAACTAGATCATCTCAGCCAGGGCTTTCTTGAGCCAGGTCTCTGGGTAATCTGTTCCAGTGCTTTCATCACTCTCCTAATCCAATCTAACCCCCCCCCCCCAAACCCACCGACAACCCATGCGGCAAAAAAACTGCCCGGTCCTGAGCAGTGCTGAGTCGGGGGCCAATCTTGTGGGGGGAATAGTGAGACACACCATATTAGTCAATGTACCGGGCAGCGATCTCGTTACATGTGCCACCTAACCATGGTCAAGTGCTTTTGCAGGCATCAAGGCCAAGGAGAGTTTTTCAGAGGAGGACTTGACACTGGACACCAAAATGTCTTGGTGATGTTTACACGGAGCTCCTCTCTTGCATGGGAAGACTAACAAAGATGCTTGCTTGTTTGGAAGT